TCAGAAGACCGCTTCACAAGCTAACATTTAAGGTATTTCTCCCGCCTTCTTAGCAGGCTTTCGTAGTGTAATGGTCAGCACGCTAGGCGCGTATTCCAGAGGTTCATTGTTCAACTCCCGGCGAAGGCGTTGTTCATTTTTCATCTCTTCTGTTTTAAAAAAATACCTAATGTCTCTACAAGGGCGCCCGAACTAAAAGGGTGGTGGATGATGATTCTCCACATACAGGATTTGGCTATTGGGTCCCCTGAATCCCAGTCTCCCTTTGAAAAGGGGAATATTATAAGGTATTTCTTCCGCTTTGCTAGCGTGCCTTCGTGATGTAGTGGTTCTGCGTGCTAAGCCGGTATTCCAGAGGTCCGTGGTTCGATTCCTGGCGAAGGCGGTTGCTACTTTTTCATCTTGCCTGCTTCAAAAAAATACCTAATGTCTTTACACGATAAATAATGTCTGTCGTCCACTAACTGGTACGCATCTGCTGTGAGCGGTCTCCCAGATGCCTTAAAAAGTAAAAAACATGATAATTGAAACCATAATAAAGCTAGAAGTGTGAAACTGGATATGTGATCTTGTGGGACGAATTTGTGAAGGTAGGAGGAAATACAGGGACCATTCTCCGTTTTTAGGGGTGGAAACGACGGTTAGAAAATCCTCAGCGGTCTCTCAGACCGCTCACAGCAGTTAAAGGAGCCAAGTTGGCGCAACCAAGGCTGTTCTCCGAAGAACATCATACAATATGGTAAAACGCGCTTATAAATTTCCATTAATGTTGACAAGATTTTTTTTTGCATATATTTTTGTTTACAAAACAAAGTACAAAAGTCTCAAAACTTTAATGTTTGTCCCAGCGTAAAATATTCTTTTAAATCAATTTGTATGAAATTTTTAAGCAGTAACTTCTGATTTCTGGGCAAATTATTGAAAGTCAGAAAATGTTTTCGACTATTGGAGATGACAGAATTATTAGAAGTAAGAAAATGATTATTCATTGTTGGAAATTTTTATTGGAAACATATTATTAAGACTAAACAGATATAAATTTTAAAAAGTTTTAAAAAGTTTGTATAAAATAAGCTTATATTAAAAACTTATGAAATTCTTAATAAGCCGAAAGTAAAAAATACTTTATGGCATATTTTAAAGGGTACAAGAGATTAATTAAGTCTCATTACAATATTCATGTGCAATTTATATCATGAATAATAAAAGTGTAGGCATTTAAATAACGAAATAAAATATTCTAATGGCAATGTCAAATATATAAGCCTTTATAAACATATCATGGGCGCCATTATTCATGATATAAATTTGTAGATGAATTTAATAAAGAATATTATTTAAGCTCTTATTCCTATAAATCTACATAATAAATTACGGTACTCTTCTGTTGTCGGGACTTCATTCAAAAATGTATGTACGTATGCATGTAATATGTATGGATGTCTGTGTTACTGTATGCATGTATATATGCGCGAACGTATGTGGGTGTTTACTCATATATGCACACAGACGCATAATTACACTCTCGAATCCCTTCCGACAGCAGAACAGTATCTAAATTACTTTTCTCTTTTTAATTTATTAATCATTTCATGAGTTATAAATAAAAGCTTATTCAATAAATTAACAGAAATTCATAATTCCACTCCTATTCAGTTTCTAACTGGTAATACATTTCTTGTTTCATTAGAATCTTTTATCGTAAAACATCAAGGGGAGTTCTTTCGGTACTATTAAGGGTCATTACTTATAAGTAATCGTATAAGTTTTTAAGTACTATACTTGTCGTTAGTGTTAGAGAGACACTGGTCCTTTAGGCATTTCGGGTTGAAAGTAAGACAAAATCCGTTCTAAGTGTTCTTGATGAATCTTTTAATTCTGATAAAAACACAGGCAAAGCTGTTTTCGAGAGTACATTTAAAAGGACAATTTTCCGTGACAAACCATTAAGGAGCCTGCATAAAAGAACGAGATATTCCGGGTCAGACCGTTGAAGGGTTAAACACTAGCGGTTAAGCATACAAGTCATAACAACAACATTATTAACAAAAGAAACAACTTTCAGTTCTAGAACTTTCCACAAACATACTGATACAGCTCTTCTCGGTATGACGGAGTTCAGTCAGAGGTAACCACTTTAAACTACTAAACTACTCAAACAGAGCGCAATGGAAAGCGAGTACAAAGAACGAAGTTCGAAGATCTAACTGTGAACTGAAAATTGATAACTAATGCTCTGTCCGGTCTTATATAGTTCCCCCCCCCAGCAGCCGAAAACTTTCCACTACTTTTTCTTTCTCCAAACTGCTGGAAGGCATATAGAGTTACATTTCCATATAAGGGACCGATATGGTATATTTAAATATAGGGATCAATTATAGTCATTCAATTAGAGTACCAGTTACAGTTATACAGAGACCGGACCAAACTGTAACCAAATTTGGAGCCTTTTTTCTAAATCTATAATATAATTTTATAATAGGATTAATAAATAAATCCTATTATAAAATTTGGTGATAAAAGTTAGTCGCCAATACCATACCAACTAGTGATATCTCTCCAATTTAACGAAACAGCAATTTTTATGTTAAATAGACGTGCCCTGTTATTTTCCGAGATCTTGGAATTATCACGTTCCAACCGAATGCCTTTCCATCATCGGATGACGCCGTCTGTAACATGACGTTATCAGGTTCAATTGGTCCGTCTTACTTTCTTCGAGAACATGCAAGGACCTGATTCGGAACAGAGAGCTTACTAAAGCTATGTTCAATAACTGTGGGAAGTAGACAGGATACACAAGAAGGGTATACAAAACCCTTTATTTTTCTCTATTTACAATAACTTCCGTACTTCGGAATACAAAGACCCACTACTTGTGGTCTAAACGTAAAAATATAAAAATAAAACTAAACTCTAATTTAACATTAAAATAATAAACGTGGAAGATTGGCCTTATATTAACCGGAAGCCGTATGTAGTACAGAGAACAGTGAACACAACAATACGTTTAAAGTTATCAAGAGGATTAAACCTCTGGCCTGGAAGGCAACCAGCAACTGAGTAAAACTTCTAAGGTAAGCGGCCTGCTTCGACTAACTGCTTCCTCTCTCTCGCTTGGCAAAAAGCCACAACTTAAATACTTGGCGTTCGCCAGACAAACTTTGCATAAATACATTAACGCTTATAATTCTGGCCGGAAGTAGAAAATAAGAAGTGATAGTAAAGATTTAAAATAAAATAAACGTTAGTAAAACTTAAGATCCTTACAACGTGAGTCCGAGAAAACGTAATGTTCTTTCGTTGTAGAACTACAGAACTGCAGACGAATATAGACCTCCGATCGAGGTCTGACTAGCAGACCCATAAAAGCATTGGCAGAACAAACGTAGATATGAATTTTCGTAGTCATTTTGCTTCGAGCACCACTCCATCGGCATCATTCGTCAAAAGTACGTTCTGACCACTCTATCAATTCCCGTCACGAGAAGTGAATGGAGTCAAACCCCCTTGAATTCGGTCGACGATCTCCGATCTATAGCTCCACAACAGCAAGAGGAACAGACACGACAGTACCAGTACGGTCCCTGCCAAGCCTGATCCAGCCTTAGATTGAACTAGTGCTTTAATCCTGTGAAGTCAAATTATGTGTCCCCGTGGTTGAGACTGCCTAAGTACAGATCCTAGCCAGTACTTCCCAAAAATGCTCTTGAGTGAACACCGGGGGGGGAGTCATAGAGCTACAAATCGAAATGTCCTGCCAGATAAGTTTCCTATTTGAACACTCCATTAAATCAACTATGTGTTTAATGTCACCGTCTTCTAGCTGGTCCTTTCTGACTTCTAGCTTGTCCTTTCTGACTTTCTGACTTTCTGACCTCGTCATTCCTTGGGTCTAGATCAGGCACTGTTGAACCAGAAACTTGACGTGCAACCCGATTAACAACTTATATTTGGCTTAGACCTTGAAAAAATATCGGCAGCTTTCTGGACACGTTCTTCTAGCAAGGCTGCTGGCGTTTCTGTGTGACAAACCTTTCCTATGACAAATAGTTATGTCATATTCCTGGAGTCTTTGAATCCATCTGGCATCTTGAAATTTAGGAGCCAGATCAACGATGCATGATCTGTGTTCAGCAGAAAGCTTCTGTCATAAAGTTAATGGTGGAAATGTTCTATTGCTTTAATCCCTTTTCATGTAAGTCGCTCTTTTCTTGATGCCAGGCGCTTATGATTTTGAAATATTATTATACTCTAATGCATGTTGCTCCATTGAAGAAAAGTCCCAAATTTTAATTAGGTTTTTCAAAACGCAGTTGAAAACAAATAAATAACATTCAACTTGTATTATATTTTACAAAATTTAAACCAATTTATCAAGAATTAATAGAGTTGACTTAAATACAAGGCGTTACTTCCAGTTAGCCATTATTGGCACTAAATGACACTGTTTTGTGACAATTTTTGTTTGATTCAAATCTTAGTCCTCTTCATGTTTTAGAACAGAATTACAAACTTCTTACTTACTTAAGTTTACATTAAAAATAATTTCAAAAATTTGAAAATACACCGGTTAATTGAATGCCTAATAGTCGGATTTTTACTATAATAGAATTTCAAGTGTCATAAAAGGGAAGTACATGTGATGGAACTTTGAAGAAACCATTTTCACATGCATTTCCTGAGACTATTCAACAACGAAGGAGGTTAGAGATTCTAAGCTCCTTGTAAAAAATATATCTTCTATTTGAACTGTTTTCAGTGGCGCCAATGCAGATGTTAATTTTGGCGCACTTGCTCAGGATGCTGAAATGAATATAGCTTCTTATTATAAAAGAAATTCAAGTTAGCTCATACAATAATTGGGCTTTTGGCACATATAATGCGCTATTGTACCCAAACATCGGTTGGTTCAGCCATTTCCCGCTCTGACAAGGTACAAATTTCATTCTCCAACATGCAACGTTGTGATATAATTCTTAAGAGGTGGATATGGATTTTCCACTATTTTCATATATTGACAGTTTGCTCAGAACTTAGAAACGTCTGTTAATTAATTGAAATCAAATATCAACAACTGTCATCTCATAGGAAAATTTACTACAAAATGCGAATGTACGCAGTGTCAAGTACATTGTTCCATTTTAGCGGGTTTTTCAAACAATGTTTACTCAGTGGCAACGATGAGTTTCAGAAGTTTTCGCTTTTTTATTTTGTGCGTGTTATATGAGCTGTGAAAGTGCATTATATTCATTAATGATCTTCGCTTGTATACGGTATTTAAATACTGTATTGTAAAAAAATTTAAGTCGTAAGAGTCAAAATAAAAAGAAAGTGATGTTTTATATATATGTGTTCTATATATAATATGTGGGTAAAAATTTTCGTCTGCTTTTGAAAGTTCGTTCTTTGTTTTCACTGTTGATAGTAATTGCTGCATATGTCTGTTGTAGTATTTGTTTACGTAAGTTTATGATTTATTATAGCATTATTTTTTAATAACTTAAGTTGAAATATTTTCATTTGTATGACAGACTTTGTCGCGGTAATAACCTGCAACGTTTTGCGTCGATATGCACCAAGCCGCCAACTTTTCATCTAACATTTTGTATTATAAATGGCATGGAATATATTTTTATTTGCATTTGCATATAGTATTTATATATTGGAGAATAATAAAAAAATTTTCATCTGTGTAAAATAAAATCTATTATTAATAACTTTTTTATCATTAAACATTTTGTATATTATTATAGTAGAACATTATTTTAACTGTATCTTTTGTAACTTATTAAGGAAGTGTGTTTATTGCGTATTCAGCTTTATGGGGAAATCGGGAAATTTTATTATTTTAAATTATTTCTTTTAAGTGAAATGGTTTCCAAGTTAGCAGAAAAATATTTGCTTGACATACTTGAAAAGGCTGTCAAACATGGAGATTCTTGTGAGATTCAGAATGTTTTCAAAAATAATAATTTTGCAGTGGAGAATTTAAATGTGGTTATAAGCAAGGTATGTCTTGAATTTTATTTAATATTTTTACTTATTAATTTTATTTTATATTACACAACTTTACTCCTATATAGTATTTTGAAATACTTTTATGATCAAATTTTTAATTATAAAATCGCAAATTTTTAAAAATAATTTTCAGCACAAAATATTTAAAATTAATTTTTTTGTCATTTCAAATAAAGTAATGAAATATCTTTTGTTTGATGCATTTAAATGGTTTCAAACACATGTTTATTTTGGACTTTATATAGGTAGGGAATATTATATATTCCTGCCAGTCTAATTTGCCTGGATTTGAAATTACTATTCAGAATATTCTAAAAGTCCTTTTGGTAAGTTTTATTTGCAATTTTTTTAAAAAATTTGGGAATTACTCTTGTACATGCCGTCAGTTGGTGAGAAATTTCTCAGCAAACATTTTTGGCAAGAAACTCCACGGCACTATATTACTATCTAAATTTTTTGTCTACATTTCGAACTTTAAGCCTAAAATGTCTGCAAAAATGCAGTTTTCGCATTTGAAAAAAACTCCGTTTTGAACACACAATTTACACCAAACATCCAAAACAAAAACAAATAATTTAGATCGCAAAAACATAAAGTTCCTAACCAAAAATATTTGACAAGAATCCATGTGCACAGCGATCTGTTTTAGCTTAAAAAAACATCGGGGAATTGCACAATCTATACAGCGTAGGAATCTAGGAATTACGCACACCTCACTATAATAAACTAACATAAAAACAATAAATTTCGGTAAAAGTATAGTTTAGAGTATCCCTTGGCGAAACTTGATGATTTTTGGCGGCACATGGATACCGAGTTTGTGCAATTCTTTGGCTCATTACTTTGGCTTGCTATGGGATTTTTTTTTAAGTGAAAATAGGTCAACGTGTACATGGATAAAGTCAAAGGAGTGCTCAATGCCATTTTTGTACAATTCGGGGATATTTTTTTAAGTGAAAATAAGTCGATGTGTACATGGATACCGAGTTTGTGCAATTGTCTTGTTATTTTGGTTTGCGAAGCGGCGATTTTTGGTTCAAAATAGTTGTACCTGGCAAAATATTTCCTTTGATTACATCCAATAAAGTTTCTTTCCTTCTATCCTCAACTACTTCAAAAAAACACCTTCCCATCCCTCGTTCTATTCTACCAAACACCCACTTTCCCACCACTCATTTACCTCTATTATACTTCCTCTTTCCAAATTTACTTTCATCTATTTCAACAACAATTCCTGCACCCACCAATCTTTTCACCTTTCCGAAGACAAATATCCACGCATACATCTCTACAAAAAATTTTCCAATCCGTTACCGTCTTATTATTGTTAATATTCAATTTCGTCTTGATGATTTTCGAGTTTGCGTCGTACACCCAGAGCCACGTAAAAATCAAAATATCAGTCATACTCAAATGACTTTTTTCAAACCAGGTACCCTTTCTGATTGAACACTTCACATAGTGACCATCTGAACCTTTCTTCCTACAAACCTATTCAAGTCCATCTAAGCGGTTTTTATGTTTGACTAGACACATATCCTTCCTACATACAGGACACTTATAATGGCTACTAAGTAAACCTTCATTTACACATCAGTCAATAAAAGCTCTTTTCCTCTTTTGCTCCAAATCGTACAGAAACAGATTAATATTACTACATTCAGCCATTCTACCGTCTAAACAATAAAACCAACACACACCACAAAAGTGCTTGCAAAACATCCCATGATTCAAAATTTCCCAGAATCATGCACCCAATTACTTCATAATACGATTTCCATAACATTCAACTACTCAGGATGCCTACTTTAGGATCACTGGATCTGTCTGCAACTTGAGCGAACAATATTGACTAAAAAATGACCGGTATGGATAGCCATCACAACATACCGAAGAGAGCCATTTTGTGGTCCTTAGTTGGTGGGTCCATTTTCCAAGTGGCAACAGTGCTGATTTTCAACAGTCAGCAGTCCAGTATACAATAGAATGTAAAACTGTTGCCAAAACCACATTTATATAAGACTGAAACTATTCAAAAAGATGCGATAAAATCGAAAATATAATGTAAAAATAATCTGATTCGAATTTTGAAAAAATCGCTATTGTCTAGATCAGTGGTGCGCAAACTAGGGGTCGCGACCCCTGTGGGGGTCGCCAGAAGTTTTTCGAGGGTCGCCAAATTTTTATGAAATGCATTATGCATTTCATAAAAATTTGGCGACCTGCATGCTGCATACCATACAGTGTGCATATAAAGAGTGAAGTGCCGTCACTCACTGTTTAATTGCAATTTCATGCTGTCCGCTCTTTCTTTGACCGTAATGCATAATGTATGTAAAGTGTGAAGACACAAGTTTTGCACTCCGGTAGATAGCGCCCTCTTCGCGGTAATTCGCCAGTATTAATGAAAAGCGCCTATTTGACTAGACATTAACCGCAGTCGCTTCCATGATCAGCCAATCAGTTGACGAGGTACGCGGTGTATCTGATAGTCAGAGTGAAGACGTGAAGTGTTCGCATGAAATTGTAGCATGTAGCAGTTGGCCTGCAATTGTTTTAGTTCATCCTCGAGTTTTATCATGTGATGTTGTGTAATTATGATTTTTTATATTTTTATCGAGCTTTGCTACTCTTTGCTATCAGGTATGTACTATCATTAGATAAAGATCTCTGTTAATTTTATTGAATTTCTCGAAAAAAAAATGATAAAATTTTATATATTATTTGTTTTAGTTTAAATAATTTAACCCCTATCTTCATAATGGATAAATGGGTAATACGTACACCAGGTACATCTTCAGCTAACAAAACGAATACTGATGAGGAGTCGCAAAATACTGAACTAAATGCCCGATCTAAGAAAATGCAATGAGGAATTTATTAAGTATGGTTTTACATTTTGTATTGTTGATGATGAAGAACGCCCGATATGTGTCATTTGCAACGAAAAATTAGCAAATGAGAGCATGAAACCAGCTAAATTAAAAAGGCACCTGGAAACTAAACATAAAGAACTTCAAACTAAACATGCCGATTTTTTTCAAAGACGAGCGGAAAATCTGAAAATTCAAAGTGCACATTTAAAGAAATTTACGACAATGCCTCAGAAAGCATTACGAGCTTCTTTAGAAGTTTCTTATCTAACAGGTGTGTGTGTGTATTTAATTATGGCAAAACACACTAGGGCTATCTGCCTCACGGGGAGGGATGCCTTCGTGGAGGTCTTTCTAAGGGAAACTGGCTCGTATACACGTTACACATGGGGAAAACCACGAAAACACCCATGCAGCCAGCCCGTTCGCGGGATTCGAACCTTGGACCGAACTACCAGTGTTCAGCGACTTTACCGCTCGCCGCACTTATCTAATAGGAAAAACAATGAAACCCCATACAATTGGAGAATCCCTTATCCTTCCTGCAGCAACTAAGATGACATCAATTATGCATGGCAATAAATATGGAAATGAAGTAAAAACAATACCATTATCAAGAGATACCGTGTCTCGGCGGATTTCCGAAATGTCACGAAATATCGAGTCAGAAGTCATAAAACGCATACAAAATTCATCTGTATTTGCTTTACATCTGGACGAGACTACCGATATTACTAAAATGTCACAACTAATTATTTACGTTAGGTTTATTTTTAATGAAGATATAACAGAAACGTTTTTATGTTGCAAAAGTTTGGAAGGAAAAACAACTGGAGAAAAAATATTCGAAGTAATAAATGAATATTTTGAAACAAAGTCCCTTACCTGGGCAAACTGTGTTGCGGTTTGTACTGATGGTGCTGCAGCATTAACAGGTTCGAATAAAGGGCTCAGAGGCTTAATTCAGAAGGTGGCGCCTCATATGGTATTTAATCACTGTATGATTCATCGGCAAGCTCTTGTTGCAAAAGATATGGATGAAGAGTTGCACAACATATTACAAGACGCTGTTAGTTCAATTAACTACATTAAATGCAACAGCCACAACAGCCGTCTCTTTTCAATACTTTGCAATGAGATGGGCTCAACGTATGAGAGATTACTGTTACACACCGAAGTCAGATGGCTTTCACGTGGGAAAATACTACGACGGATATTTGATTTGAGAAATGAAGTGTACATGTTTTTAATCGAAAAGAAACATAGATTGGCAAGTTATTATATCAATGAAGTTTGGCTAGGGAAGCTGAGCTATTTAGTTGATATTTTCGAAAAACTTAACGACTTAAATTTGAGCTTGCAGGGTGAGAATTCAACTATCATAACTTCAGCCAGTAAAATTCAAGCTTTTAAGAATAAGCTTAGTCTCTGGCAAACTGAACTGAATAAAAACAACACCGACATGTTCCCTTGCTTTAACGATTTTATCATGGAAAATAATATAGATATATTTACATTTAAAAACATCATTTCCAATCACATTGAAAAGTTAAAGGAAAAATTTAAAAATTTTTCGAGAAGATTCGAGGATTTTCCTGAAAACGATCTTGGTTGGATTCGTGATCCATTTTCCTTTGACATATGCAGTTCAACTCTTCAAATTAGTGAGAAAGAGCAATTGATAGATCTAATTAGTGATTATTATACTCTTCGAAATCAATTTAAGACTCAGCCTTGCCAAAAATTTTGGCTATCCGTGGAAAAACAATATCCCGTTTTATGCAAGAATGCCATCAGAGTGTTAATACAATTTGCATCAACGTATTTATGTGAAACTGGATTTAGCAAACTAGTTTCAATAAAAACTAAATACCGCTCGCGTTTTAAACCCTGAAGATGATATGCGAATTTGTGTGTGCCGGAATTTTTCGAGCGAGGATTTGACCAATTGACATATGCATTCAACCAAAATCAAATAGTGAGAAAGAGCAATTGATAGATCTAATTAGTGATTATACTCTTCGAAATCAATTTAAAACTCTCAAACCAAAAAAAAAAAATAACAAAAATAAAAAAAACAAAAAAAAAAAAAAAACCAATTTCAAACAGTTTCAATAAAAACAGCAATGATATGACAATTGCAAACAACATCCAAAACATCGATGAGATAATTAGAAACTTACAGCCACATACATCTCATTAAAGGGCAATTTACTGATTTTTGTGTTATACAAAAAGTATTTTCTTAAAATTGTCAGATATCATGATGTTTTTATTTGATGAAACGAAAGAAATGCGCGAAATATACATCGTATTTGTGAACACTAATCTCTAGCGGTCGCCAAAAATTTTCTCTCTACAAAAGGGGTCGCAGTCGAAAAAAGTTTGCGCACCACTGGTCTAGATGCATCAATATACCAAATTTTGTAGCCCTGCGTCTATTAGCTTACGCG